TTGCTTATGTAGATGATCTGATTCTCTTCACCAGATTTAGCAAATAGGCTGTTACTATTTGATGTCAGCTAAGGTTTTTTGAGCAGGTTAGTGGAATGATATTCATCAAGCATAATTCTGGTATTTATTCTAGAAAACACCTATTCCAGAAGAGAGTTAATTGGTTGGTTGATAAATTTAGCTTCACTATTCTCCCATTCCCTTTGATGTATTTGGGGGCTCACAATAGCAAGGGAAGAAAAAAGTGTTGTCTCTTTCAAGGGTTAGTACAAAGATTTGCAAATAACTTCAGTCATGGAAAAATAGTTTCTTTTTGACATGGTGGTAGGTTAACCTTGTTAAAAAGTATTTTGACTACCATCCCACTTTATATCATTCAGAGTGCTAGATTGCTTAAGTCCATCATCAGCCTGCTAGAAATATTATTCAACAATTTTTTTTAGAGTAGGTTTTCTTCTCAAGTTCACCAGATGAGATGGAAGAAACTATGCAAACCAATTCAACATGGGGGTTTTGGATTTCAAATCTATTGAAGAGTCAACGAAGATTAATTTTCTTAAGTTATGGGTAAAATTTAGATCCCAGTAATCTCGTTGAGCATATCTTTTATTAAATAAATATTGTAAAACTAGTCATTCAATGACTTGATCTCCACAAATTTCTAATTCTATAATTTGGAAACAAATGTTACAACATAGGGAGACAATTGAAAGCTTCAACAAATGGGAACTTGGGGAAAGAAATACTAGTTTCTGGTATGATGATTGGTCACCTTAGGGGACCTTGTCTGATACATATAGTGGTCCTCATCAGCTTAACCTACTGGTCAAAGACCGTTGGAGAAAGGTGAAGTGGAATCTGTCAAAGTTACAACAACTGTTGTCTCTTCAGAATGTATGAAATATCAGTAATAAGGCCATTGAATTGCAGATCAAGGATAAATTTATTTTCAAAGAACATCTAAATGTCTCCAATACTAAAACCATTGCTAAAAGTTTTTATCAATATGATCAACATGTTAACTGGTTTTGGGTTTGGAATAAAGTGTTGAAACTCTCTATATCTTATTTTTTTCCTGAAGGTCTTTTCATTCGCTTCTTCCCACTGATGACATCCTAAGGCTGAAGGGTCTCAGGATTGCTTCAATGTGTATACTATCTAATTGTGAGGAGGAATCCATCCACCATATTTTCCTTAATTGCAGGTTCTCCTAGCACTTGTGGCATTAGATGTATGGCAGGCTTAGGAACCTCCTCCCTACAAGGTTGTTTTCTTTAATCTTGGACTAGTGGACTGATTGAGCTTCTCATTCTAATAATCTGATTAAAATCTTCCTATTATCATCTACTGGTTTGTGTGGACAAGTAGAAATAATTATAAACATGGAACTCACCAATCTACGATCACTCAAACTAAGGTAATCACTAATATTTTAGCATATATCCAAAAAGTTGTCAACTATGTCAGGATTCGAGATCAATTCCTAGCTTGTCTTCAACCTTTAGTGTAGGATATCTCTTCTTATCAAACTAAATTTCTTCCTCAGCTTGTCTAATGGAGGAAGCCTGACCGAGGATGGTTGAAATTTAATCTTGATGGTAGTTGGAAGGAGTGTTCAATAAGGATTGGAGAAGTGTTCTGAGACTGCATGGGTCGGGTTAGAATGATTTTTCTGCTCCAACAATTGCTCTGTCTCCTATTCAAGCTAGAGCTGAAGCACCAGTTACTGCTCTCTTCATTGCCAAGTTGATTCGTTTCCATCTTCTAATTATGAAAATGGATTCTCAAATTTTGTGGAGGAATTATTTGAAGCTCTCTGAACCTCACTGACTCCTCATTCACCATTTTAAGCAGATTTTCAACCTATTTAAATCCTTCTTAATTAAGTGGAAGTTTATACCAAGTGGGGGTAATGCACCAGCTGACTAGCTCTCAAAGATTGCTTTTCACACCTAACAGGTTCTTGTTCAGAAATCTACTCCTACTAAGCTTATGTTTTTCTTAAAGGGAAATTTACTATATCTCTTATATATTAGATCCTCTCTATGTAATACATCTTTTAATGAATGATTGAATAATATTTATATATATATATATACACACACACTTGAGAATAAAATTATTGTAGTCAATATACATAAGTGATTTACGGATAATTATGTTAAAAATATTAATATATGTAATATTGGGATATTATGTATTAATAATGATTGACTTTAATTTATCTATTTATATTATTTTTAAAGAACAATATAATCTTAAGACAAGATCTACCATGAAAATAAAAAAAATTTAAATTTAGATGTTAAATTTTTTTAAGGCAAGTAATGTTTAAGTTTACGGGAATTTTTTGTGTATGTTGGTGGCTTAATGGATTATTTTTATATTTTTGTATGCTTTTTATGGGTATATGTGGTGTTGTATCTATTATACAAGTAAAAAATCAACACTTGGAGCATTTGAAGCATAAAATAGGCTAATTCAACATGCTGGCGCCCCATCACCCAAAGGAGGCACCTCAGTACCTGAAAAAGCAAAATTTTCATCTAAAATATAGAGCAATCGACATCACAATGCAAGGGTTCAGGTGCTCCAACGCTCAACATTAGCGTTGTCATGCGCACAAGACGAGTGATGTTGCGTCCGAAGACCTAATTTGTTGATACAAAACCACAAATTGCAGCATCACAAGCTAACGCCATCACTCATGTTGCTAGCACGTTGATGACATCAAGCCAACATCACTGCGCCTCCCACTGGCTTAGGGTGGTTTTGGTGGTTTTTCTAACGTTTCGATCTAAGGGAATGCAGAAAAACTTCAAATCAACACATCACAAGCTAACGCCATCACTCATGTTGCTAGCACATTGATGACATCAAGCCAACATCACTGTGCCTCCCACTGGCTTAGGGTGGCTTTGGGGGTTTTTCTAACGGTTCGATCTAAGGGAATGCAGAAAAACTTCAAATTAACAAAAGAAAGGGAGCTCATAGACTCTTGGAACGCGGAAGAAGACCATTAGAAGTCACGCTCAGTGCAATATTTATGAAAGAGTGGCAAAGAGTGACAGAGGAGAGTTTTCACATATTTGTGTGTGACTAAAAAAAGTGTGATGGAAATCAGACAATGAAGGAATTTTGGAGGCAATCAAGTCTTAGGAATGACGCTTGCTTTATTTCAAGTTTTTCATTCCTTTAACTCGTGTACTTTGGTTTAATCTATTAAATGAAAATCATGTTTTTATTTAAAATCATGCATAGAACTTAAAATCTCTCTCTCCCTTGGATTGGAATTCTTTAAAATCTTAAAAAAAAAATCATGTTAGATTTTTGAACTATTGAGTGATGACGTTATTGTTTTAACCTTCTAACATTAATTTACATTCAAACTTACCATTTAGATATTTAAAGTTACTTTGTAATCAAGGGCTGTAAAAAGAAAACCAGAAGTACATTAGATTTAAAAAAAGTAGTTTAGTGGAATATGGATATTGATAATAGATTCTTGCAATACTTTTAGAGAATGTGGATGTTTGTGAATTCTTGCAGGGTTATGTGAGTCTAACTATAATATGAGATCCTATATCTTGTTATATCTCGAAAGAGATAAGGACTAATAGATCCCCGTTGACAAATATAGTTGAAAAATTACTTGGGAAAAGTTAGATTACATTGAACTAACTCAAGAGAGACCTTCACATTACTTACCCTTCTCACGTACTTTAGATTCCCACTATAAAATTAGAATTTTAGACACTTTTACAACCCCAAAAACATTGACCATTTTAAACTAATCATAAAACTAGTAAACTAGCAAATTGACTTGCTAGAAAATTACCCCTTTCATTGTCGCTCGATACAAGAAGTAATAATCCATATACCATTTGATTCAATTCGTATACTTACATGATAATGTGTGTGTTTCATTGTACTACAGATCACCCATCAATACCTTCCCCTAGCGAGCGTTTTCACAAACCCTTAATTATTGATCTCATGGATGCTTCCCTCGCTAGCTTTTCTTGAACAGCCAATCTCACAAAGATCCAAGCTTTGCTTCAAACCAATTAATTCAAATTTGTTTTTAGGGCTTCTACTTTAATAAATAATTTGCACTCCAAAAAAAAAATATTTGATTTAAATTAATTTAATTTATTTTTTGAAACAAATATGTAATGATGATCTACATTAAATTAAGAATATTAAGAATATTACAATAAGCCATATAATTCTAAAGTCTTTTACATATATACTACACCATTCTTTAGTATTTACTAGGGGTGTAAACGAGCCGAACACGAACGAGCGAATCATGCTCAGCTCGTGTTCGGCTCGTTTATATTTCGAGCTCAAAAAATGTGTTCGTTTTCGGCTTCTTTACTTAACGAGCCGAACACGAGTTGTTCACGAACCAAGTGTCATTTTAAC